AATGGCGAATAGAATTGGTTACTTTATGGTAGAGTCGTGGCGCCATGTTGAAGGTCATGCAGCTTTCTTGTGTTCTCTTGGAAAATTCACTTGAAGAGGAAGAAATGTGGATGAAATCCAGTAGCTGTCGAAAAACCATCAAGAAGAATAATTACCTCTGTAGAACTTGTTTGTTCGTATCGTAGTTGATTTTTCTGCACATTTCTAGTTGCGCGTGGGCACACATTAAAATACGCACTTGTTTCCCATACTACCTTCTGAAACATCCCATAACAACAAAGTAACTAACAAGAAATCGACTGATTTAACTTGAACTAAAGGCAAACTTAAATTAAAATATACAGAATGGGAGAAAGAGGTCTGAATGAGAGAGTTTTAACTAAAAAGAGGAGCAGGTAATTGGGGACGCAACATTCCGCTTGAACATGGAGAGAAAACAGATTCGTTGCAAAATCGATTGCCGGTAATAATCAGCTTATTAACGCTGTTTTGCTGGCCAAAGAGCGTACTATGGAATTCCTGTGTTTTGTTCTCTTTTCTTTCCTTCTCCCGCAATAAACGAGAATTAAGTTTTGTAAGGTCGACTTGTTAGTAATTTCTCATTACTGATATTACGTGATTAATGATATTGCGTAGTGGACTCTGCGTGTGCGGCATAAGAGGTAACGTTGCACGGTGAAACGGGAATATCGATAATGAGGAATCCCGTGATAATTGGTAATGAGAAACCTCTTCGGAATTCGTCTAAAACTCCTCAGTCCCGAGATCCCGTATCCCGCGAACGTACTATTTAGCATAGATACGCTACGTACGCGAAATTCGTGGACGCGCGAAGCTAGCGCCGGTAGGAGAATGAGTTAAGTAACGAGCTCTGTGTAACTGAGTGTATTATACGTGGAAACGTTGATCGCGAGAAGTTTCTTCAAAATTTGTCCTCCTCGTATAGACTCACGGGGTCTGCACAATGCCGCCTACTTAGCATGGATATGCGAAGAACGCAAACTTCTCGGCAGATACACGGAAATCGGTCTTTGAGTCGAGGTTAAGTGACTAACTCGCTGCAACCGTGTACACCGGCGCCGAGGAAATATTGGTCGCGGAGGTCTCTTTGAAACTCGTCTTCTTCCTGCGCCCGCGACTACCCCGCCCCCCTCCTTCTGGAATCTACTTAACATAGTCGTACGAAGAATGCGAAGTTCATACGAACCTCGAGATTCTTTACAACAACTTGAATAAGCGATTCACCGGCTGTATTACGCGTCGCACGGGAGCTGAGCAAAAATTGACGCGAACTTTACGAGCAGATGGCGCGGCAGGGGACGGTCATTTTTCAATTCCTGCTCGTTAGACGTCTTTCATTTATTACGAACGAGTATCGAAATGTTGTGAACCACGAATTTACTTCTTTTTCTACCGACGGTGGTTAGTTAGCGCGGGTGGTAAACGGTTTCTCGATAAACTCGAGGAAACATGTGTCGTCGAAAGGTTTCGCACGAGGAGATTCGAGCGGTGAATCGGAGGAACGAAAGTTTTGGCACGATCGTTGGCAGAGCTAGGGAAAAGAAAGAGCGCGGATATAAGGGGGTTGGAGCGAACGTATGATGCCTCGACGGGAAGAGGGGGGGAGGGGTTCAGATGGGGGTGGCGGGGAGAAGAGTCTCCGGTAGAATCGGAAAAACGCAACAGGGCGGAAGTACGTTGAACAGATAGCATTGTGCCATGGTGGAGTGGAGACCTCCCTTTGTCAGGGTACCATTCCCTTGTTTGGTGGGGTGCTGGCTCTGCGTACATTCCTCGACAAAACTGTCCCGTTACCCTTTTGTCTCCTACATTCTGCGTTCGCCCGTAATGGAATCAACGAGTCAATTAACCGGCCCCGTTCCCGTTCATCGACTTACAAGCCGCGGATCGAATTACACACTTTTTAGGATCGCCGGGTCGTTCGAGGGGTCAATATCCATCAAAGCCGCGCCGTCCTTTCTCCTATTTTAATACGAACTCCTGGCAAGACAAGGCGATGTACAATTTCAACGATATCAGATTATACACATTCAATCGGACGGTCATTCCGATTAAAGGATAGAGTCGTTCGTTATCCACGATCTACAGGGACACCATGAGTAGGCAATAAATCTTACGACTGGTATAATTTCCTTTAATTGCCGTCGTCCGATTTTTGCAAGTCCGCCCGTCGCGTTTAAAATTATCGCGTCATTCTCACAAGGCTTAAATAGTCACGTCTATAACGCCGGTTCCACTTTTGCGGCGGAGGGTACGCGCGCACCCGCCCACACATTATCGCACGTATGGACGCACACGGGTGCAACGGGGTGTGTTGGTGCGTGACTAGCTGCAAATGCACTGGGAAGACGCGCGCTGTCCCGATGGTGTTTTCACGTTTGTGTGCCCGGCGTTGCTTGTGTACGCGTACCAGTGGCGTACCGGGCGCATTCTGCAGGAGAGATCGCATAGATGCACGTGCTGCCGTAGGTACACGCGTGTACCTCCTCGTCTCTTGTACAGAGATAGATTGATAGATAGTTTAATGCACCCTGGGAATCCGGTCCCACCAAGATCAACTGCGCCGGCACGTAGCAGTGGTAGCATGCGCACGGGAGTACACTGCAACGAGTATATTGTGCGTCGAGATATTGTCGCTTAGATAACGCCCCTGAATGATAACGTCATAATCGAAGCCACGATGTTATCGTTTTAAAACGTGATGCTCTCTATTAGGGGGATGGTTACACGGAAATTCATTCAATTGTGCTAAAAAATTGCGTCGAGTTCTACACGATTCATAGATTGTTCCAAGTAGCTGGTTGGAAATAATTTTACTGTTATTATTATTATTTTACTGACGAACATAAGCCATTTACAATATATAAAAGAAAGAAAAAAGTCTGATAAACTTATTATAAATTAAAAAAAAATTGCTATTAGATCTCAGCAGCTCGTGTTCATCTTGAGCGCCTGTGGCGCCCTCGACTGCCATCAACCTTGCCCGGAAAGACCCATTTTCGGGCATTGTTGCACAATATACTATGTGAATTCTAATATGAATTATCAGCTCTATTTATAAGTAATTGCAACAGAAAGAAGTTTTAATTCGAAAGCATACGCTTATGACTGGACATTGTTTGTAATGGTTGTATGATGGACAATATTTTTCTGAGACGAGGTTAGAGCGTTTCGCGTTTAGGACTTTCCCACCGGTGTGCGTTGATCACTAATGAAACCGCTCCGTCATTGAAGGGTTAATCTTCCTTACGGTGCGCCTATACGTAGCCTATGTGCGCCCTATCAGCTCTATTAATTGGATTCTCGGGCGATTGATAGGTAGGATCGGATATCGAGAGTGGTGGCTCAGATTGCTAGTTGCGCACGATGAAAACTTGGCTGCACCGGTGAAATGACTGAGGTGTGCTACGTGTGCTGTTAGAGAAACTGTTGTGCACGTCCCGCGGAGAACCAACTGGTGGAGAATATACGACGCACTTTGTTTTCATAATTTATTCTTTCGTCGACCGACAGTAATTGCATTCGGTGGCGTTTCGGTCCGTATTAACGAGTCGAGCGATTAGATAACACCGGGGCAGATAACGGTGGAATCGAAGGCAGGATGACAGAAACACTGCCGTCTTCTCTTAAAGAGAAAGTGTGTATAATTATTGGGTTCGTTAACGGAGTAACCGCTTTAGTTCCTATAGACTCTGGTAGATACTGACTGATTAACGTCGTTCTTATATTTTCTAATCACCGTCGAAAGTCTATGCTTATTAGCTTCTCTCTAGACAACCGTTCCCGTACGTTCTGTGAACCTAAAGAACGGTGCACTGTTGCCGGGACTTGTGACTGGAAGCAGAAAGGGTACCTAAGATTTTAGCCATTTTCTATGGTTAATAAATGGCGCACTCTTCACGTGACGTCTGCGCATCTCCATGGCCATAGCGATCACAAATTTATAGGCTCTGATTTACAAGTTTCCTATTGGGAATTGATACAGAGGTGGGACCAATAGATATAGCTAACCATCATGGCGACACGAAGCCAGGAATTATCCTGAGAGTCCATATAGGACCGGGTACAGTTCAGTTTTTGTAATTTTTACACTCGCTCGCCACGAGAGATGTAAACGTGTCAATTCCTAATAATAATTGAAAATGCCAAATTGTGTGGTTAAAGATTGGGTTAGGTTAGGTCTTCTACTAAAACTAGTAGAACATCAGGAAAAAACTGTGAAATTTTATAGACAGGCAACACTAGTCTATAAGATCAATTTATGCGCCGTCCTTTCGTCAGAATCAGACTTTTATTTCTATTCTCGGATTAATAGGAACTCGGTTCGTCGTTCCGTTTGTGAAACGTGTTATCTTCGCAATGTGGCTCGCTATTCATTATAATTTATTAACGAGATCTGTTCCTAGAGGGGTAGCCTGGATTCCGGAGACCGGCTGGCCCGATACAACGCGATACCCCGGCGAGGATAACGGTACCAAAAAGATAATGTCTCGCTCGAAAATAGGATAGCAGAACGGCGACGTAACGAGAAAGTGTAGCGCGCAATTATCGTGACCGTACGCGAACCAGAAACGCCAGGCTTTCGTGACGGCGCTGCCTACTACCGACAACCTATCTGCCTAATGATCGAGCTTTCGGAAGCACGAATGAAAATAACGCGAAACTGTTCTATAACGTTTACTTATGTGCGTGTTTGTACGCAGATCGCGATTCGCGGAATCTCTCTTTCTCTCTCTCTCTCTTTCTCTCTTTCTCTCGTAGCTCTGTGGAACAGTTGACTCGTTGGTTATTCAGTCATTTATCGCGCTTGCTCGTGGCCCGACTTTAGTGGACACGTTTCGATCTCGGGATAAACTTCGAGCTCTTCAAATGGAGAGAAGTAATACCGGTATCAACAATTAAAAACATTTCAATAGACGTGGTTTTAAGCTGAATATAGCGATTCCTGCGTAGTTATTTATAATAATAATAACAATAATTTTAATGGGCACTAATAAAGTGTCCATTTTTAATGAAACATTTACACTAAGGTCTGCAAAGACCAACAATTTCTTTACGATAGTTACATTCTTTATTAATTAGGCTCGTGAACAACGATACGTTCTACTCTGAAGGTTTGCACAGAATGCTTTGTTACGTCCTGGTCCTCGCGGTTCGGCTCCCTTTGCTCATCCATGAGTATAAACAAGGTTGCCAACGTTTATGCGGGAGTCCAAACATCCTCTGATTTCAAAGCTCATAAAAATTTCATCATGCTCTGCTCACAGGTTGATGGCTACTGTAACAAGGGATGTGTTATCTAATCACTTGCTGGCTTCTCACTTACGACTTCCTATCGCTTCTCGTTCTAACTGTGTATCATTCGGTCACACACACGCATGCACAATAATTGCGTGTTCTACGATTGTGACAATAATAATAATAATAATAATCGTTGACTTCTGGCTTGCAGCCAAGAAATGTGAACTTGGTTTATATTTACTTTCTCAACTCATTCATCCTTTTCTGTCACTACTCTCTCACTCATTCATAATTTTTTGCTTAACAGTAATTTATTATAAAAAATAGATCTTTCCAAGTTACGATTTTAGTCATTCGTTAGATTCACTGGCTGGACCGGCTAGAGGTGTGTATGAAAGTATATGTAGACATCGGTAGGGTATGTGTCGGCGTGAGCCGATGCGAGATAGCCCGAAGATCTCCGAAGAGGAGACAGGTCTGAAGTCTGAACAAGTTGAGCCAGAGTCGTCGTTGAAGTTAGTTAGTCGTAGTTGTAGATTCGCATATTCTCTAGTTTGTATACATATAAATATATTCAATGTTCTAATAATAACTCTACCAGTTTACTACACGATATACTTACCGAATTTAAAACTACCGTTACAGTCGTAATTATCGCGCATGCGCGTGAGCAGCCAAAGAATCGGCATGATGTTCAGGTAGGAGTAATCAGGAATAAGCGATAGAAAATGGTCGTTAGAAGACGCGAGTGAACGAATAATTAAATCTCACATATTTGTAACGATAGCTCTTAGGTATTAATGTTAGTATACTAATTCGTTAGAAATAAACCTATATTATTAACGCCCGTTAGAACTACTTATTGACAGACTGAAACTGCACGAACGGAAGTATTCGCAGTTTACTGAAGCTCGTTCCGAGCGGGTCTCGAGTTCCCACGAAAGCTCGATAATCGAAAACCAATGGTGAGAGGCATACCCTAGATTATCGTCAGAGTTGATCCGAAGGGAGTGAACAACGAATCTGAATCCGAGCGTGTCTCTCCGACAAAAGATTCTTAACCCTTATTTATCTGGTGCCGCGGGTTCGCGTCATTTCCCACCTGCCGCTTTCCCCTCGCGAATTCTCGCCCCAGGCCACCGAAATTCGCTGCCAGCAAACTCTATCTCGAAGATCATCTCTGCACGTCTCTTTCAACTCCCTCTCAACAGTAGATAAGGAAACGGTTGGATGTGAAATAAAAACATGGACGAGCACAGGGGATACCGCGAGGCATTATGGAGAGATTATAATTTTCAGAGGGGTCAATACGGTGTCCTCGGTATCTCCCATTGTCATCGAGCACGTCGAACACGAGGGGTCGCGGGGGGGACGCCGGACCGCTGCATCGAAAGTTATCGGAGGGGTGGATTTATCAGTGTACTACATGCTAGAAAGTATAATTGTTTGGCCGGATGAGTGTCGTTCTGATAACGAACGGTCATAGGAGTCGGCGATAACGACGCCTAGCTCTCTCTCGGAATCGCTCGCCCTCTCCGCAGATCGAAGGGAAGATTAATTCGGTTTATTGTCAGCGTGCAAATGCGATCGCCGGACAAAAGGGACGATGAGCACGGCAAATTGGTATGTATTGAATTACCGGGTTCCTTATTATACGGTTGAATTCGTGCGAGTCTCTTTTGTCGCGGCCGATGCGTACGTCTTCAATTTACATAGCAATGACTAATTGAAAAATGTATAAACGACATTTAAATGACAATACCGCGACCGGTCGCCACCTCGCCTCGCGGCCGGTCTCCTAACTATTGTCCTAACGTCGACCTTGCGGAAGAGGTAATCGATCGTACGCAGCCGAGTGTGAAATTAAGAATGAAAATCGGCAACGATAATCCTATTTCGTTACGCCTCGACGTGTGAAACGATTCCACGTTATGCTCTTCAACCTTTTTAGAAAGTGTTGTAAGAACGAGGTAGGTACGGATTGAAAGTATGAATGAGATATGCTGTAAATTAGTTTCTCCTTCAGTAAAAAGTGAAACGGTACGTCTTATTGAGCCCGGGGGTATACTCGGTTGAAGTAATCAGTCGAGCGGCAAATTCAAAATAATTGCGAGTCGATACGAAAATATGGTTGGGGTCGAAATTAAGTAAAAGGTAAGCCTCGTCAGGAGTGGAGCGACGGTAGCCTGTGCCCTGTCGACGGAACGAGTTGATTAATACAGTATTATTTCTCGTTTCCAATTACAATCGACTGGGGCAGCACAGTGTGCGTCGCGCTCGATAAACGAATGGTATTACATTCTCCCCGTTTCATTGTGTTCGTCAATTTTGCGACTGTGTTACGATGCACTCGATCGGCTTCAGTGCATTCCGCGTATAAAGTCTCTGGGAATTGAATTATATCAGACGTTTTATCTAAATTACTTATCATTCACATGGCATGTACAAGCTTTTAGATAAATACATAATATTATTTAATGAATTGCTAGTCGATCTGTGCTCAGATTTCTTCTGCTCGTTCCATCAATAGCGTTTTCTATCCTAGCGGCAATGTCCGGCGAATCGATACGTAGAGCCGGTTTCCAGGGCTCGAAGGCGCCACAAGCTGTGAGCAGCTGTCCCGAGGGGTCGAAGGGCGATCAAAGTAAAAAGGGACGATGTACCCGATGCATAGGGTGACGTCGCGCCCTGGGCATGTTCCCGACGTCGTTGTTTCGGAAACGATGATTTAGATCCTATTCTATTTGGTCCTCGCCCGGGGAGGAAGTAAGAGCTTTTTCGCGCATTCCAATTTTCGCTGCTCGAATTGCCTGCACACTTTTACAAACTGAACGATCGTATCCGTCTGCAATCTGTCCTGCTAAGAAACACGGTTTCCATTAATCATTCAACCGGTAGCAACGGAGGCATATCTGTATCTTGACAAGCGGAATGCTTCGTCCCTAATTACTTTCCGTCATTTCTTTTTATCGTTACATTTATTTTTAGTTAAACCAGTTAATTTTATTATGCTCATTTATTCATTTTGATTTGCAGTTTTTCTTAGCTGTTTCATATTTGAGTTTATATAGGGGGGACTCGAAACTCAAGGTTTGAATTTTGCGCCATTTGTGCGACAAAGTGTGGCCATGTTGCATATGTGCCAGCAAAGGAGGCCATTTTTTTTAGAGGTTAGGAGGTTAATTAAAAACCTGTGTTTTCGACCAAAATTACTTCTTGCGTGAATTTTGCGATACCCTAGATTTGTTTTCCTTTGTCTATCCTGAAGTATAATAACAACAATAATATATGAAAAGGATTTAGATCGCTTGCTGTCGATGGAAGTCGATCGGCCTGAAGTTTTTATTATGCTCATTTATTCATTTTGATTTGCAGTTTTTCTTAGCTGTTTCATTTTTAAGTTTATATAGGGGGGACTCGAAACTCAAGGTTTGAATTTTGCGCCATTTATGCGATAATTGTGTGGCCATGTTGCATATGTGCCAGCAAAGGAGGCCATTTTTTTTAGAAGGTGGTTAGGAGGTTAATTGAAAATCTGTGTTTTCTACCAAAATTACTTCTTGCGTGAATTTTGCGATACCCTAGATTTGTTTTCCTTTGTCTATCCTGAAGTATAATAACACCAATAATATATGAAAAGGATTTAGATCGCTTGCTGTCGATGGAAGTCGATCGGCCTGAAGTGCTCGATTGGACGATCCGAGTAACGATGATCACGAAGGATTCCCTTCTTTCCCCCGCGAGAATAGTCAGTTATCGGTTTTTCGAGGCTATCCACAATTGCTTATCCGTTTTCGATACCCTTCATTTCGATTGGGAAATGAACCGGGATTAGAGATGTATCGTTTTGCCGTACGGGCAGGATTGCACGACAAGAGGCGAACCATTTTAAACATCCTCCTACTCCGCCTATAGAGATCACGAAACATCGCGCACAGTTTCAACCGGGGCGAACGGTGCGGCGCTGTACACCTGACGATTGCGCCGCGCGCGACCGCAACGCTTCCAGGCTCCACTTTCGATTCGTTATTTATGGTTTATCCAGCCACCTCGGCTGGTCGAGCTAGTTTTTCGAATCGCCTATCTGGTTTTTCCAGCGTCATTCGACTATCGCAGTTCCCGGGGACAATTACACTGTAATCATTTTTTATCCACGTGATTGCGGAAGAAAAGTCGATAGCAGTTTTTTCTCACGCGGTACACGTTTTTACCGTTGGCTGTTACACGTGAATTACGCGTTTCTTTTTCAGATTTTATTTTTCTAACGTCACGACAGTTTATCAGCCGAGTGGCTCGATGACTTAACGCGCATACATTATTCTGTTGGTTCCGAGTGCGCGTAAAATGTTTCCCACACACTAACTAGTAGACTTCGCGAACGGCATCGTATCGGAGTGAAATTCCGCGAAGTTCGTTCTCCAGAAATATGTATAGTGTCCATAAAAGCAACGGAGTAATCGTCTGTAACAGCATTCACTCGTTACAGACCGCGTAAACCGGGTGTAATTGGCCATTGCCAACCTACTGATGGTGATTCATATTTCAACGATTTCAGGAACTTGGCTCGTTCCGACCTACAGCTTGGGACTATGATTCCTGGCTTGGGTTAATTTCAAAAACAGTAATAAATCTATACCTTTTCTTTCACTGCTACATTTTCATATAATTCTGACGTTTCAAAACGAAACCAATTTTAATTTATTGGGAATTGACACATTTACCATGACACCTCGTGGCGAACAGTAAAACTAGACGAAGACATGCGCAGAACAATCAAAAACTGCAAAAACTGAACTGTGCCCGGTCCTAAGCTCTCAGGACCATGAGTTATAATTCCTGGCTTCGCGTCGCCATGATGGTTAGCTAAATCTATTAACCCCGCCCCTGTTAGACAATGTAAGAGCGGAACGATAATGGCCAATCGTTGTCCTTCGATTTCCCAGTCAGATCGTGGAGTTATTGTTACACTTTCACATAATTCTGACGTTTCAAAATGAAAACAGTTTTAATCTACAGCTTGAGACATTGTAGGTGCGA